ACATTCATCATTGATAATCTACCGAAGTATGCTGAACGTGACTTCCTAGAAATCCACACACTTGCAGCAGATGTGATGGGGCCCTTGGATACTCTCCTTAGGTATTATGTACTCCTGATATTATCAAGAGTAAATTATACCTTCAAAGAGTATTCAATGGGCCCCATCTCAGCTGCTGCAAGTGTGTGGATTTCTAGGTAGTCACGTTCAGGATACTTCGGTATATTATCAATGATAAATGTTGTTATAACAACACTATACTAGTACACGGGAATGAACGGAGTATCGAGACCGCGCCTTGGTTAACGCCTATTAATTCAGTAGGCGTTTCAAAGGAGTGGTCTCAAAAAATGGTGAGCCAACCATTGTTCTAAGTTTTACTCCATTCTTCCCTTGTTTAGAGCTTATTTACCGAAGTAGAGAGTATATTGACACAAGTAAGAAGCGAAATAATTCATGGAATTGGACAGAACAGGGATTTTTACATTACAAGGTTGGAAAGCTTGATCAGTGTCAAACGGAAGATGCCACTGAGCACTAGTCTCGCGTAGCCAGACCACACCCTCCGTGCCTCCGGGACGGAGGGTGTGGTCTGGTTACGCGAGACTAACTGAGCACGGTGACGACCCAGATTCATCAACAAGTGAAACACTTGCTCATTTACACTATCGGATTTGCCATTTCCTTTCCCAACTGACTTGTAATACTACCTGTTCCACAGTTATTTCTATTTCAAGGCCTACTATTTATTCATCAAATGGTGGACCTGGACAACCTAGAGTATTCATCAACATTGAAATGGTGGAATTTTTAAAAATAGCAGATTTAGTTGGTGTAAGTAGGTCAACATTATGGAGAAGATTGTCAGAACATGATGGTATACCTCATCGCTTTTCTGATGTCAGTGATGATGCTCTAGATTCTATTATTAGTCAATACCAAAACCGTAATCCCCATACTGGCCAAGCTATTCTTAGAGGCTACTTGGAGAGTATAGGTATTCATGTACAGCGTCAAAGGATCAGGGAATCTGTTTGGAGAACAGACCCACTCAGAAGATTTTTGAGATGGCATGGACGGCTATCCCGACGAGCTTACAAAGTTCCAGGTGCTAACAGTCTGTGGCACATAGACGGTCACCATAGCCTCATTCGTTGGAGGTTTGTTATTCATGGCGGAATCGATGGATATTCACGCATGATTGTTTTTTTACGATTTGCTACTAATAATCGAGCCATGACAGTATTTTCAGCTTTCTCTGAAGCTATAGACAGTTTTGGAATTCCTTCACGTTGCGATCTGATAGGGGGGGGGGTGAGAATACTATTATTTGCCAATTTATGATTGCTGTTAGAGGTTGTGATCGAGGATTGCTGGTCCATCAACACACAATCAGAGAATAGAGCGATTATGGAGAGATGTGTATAGATGTGTCTGTGCAACATTTTATGAGATTTTCTACAATCTTGAAATGTGCAATGAATTAGATCCTACTAATGAAGTACACTTATTTGCATTGCATTGCTTGTATGTACCTCTAATTAATATGTCATTGCAGGAGTTCACAAGGGCATGGAATCATCAGCCAATTCGAACTGAACGTAACTGGTCTCCTCGAAAAATTTGGACTAATAGCATAATACATGGTGATCATCAAGAGGTAGATGTAGATGACTGGAACATGTATGGATATGATTATGGTGGTCCTATACTTCATGATGATGACGGTCTTAACATTGTTGAAGTACCTGAAACTTTGGAACACTTGAGTGCTGACTTTAGAGAATTATATATTGCTGAACTAGGTAATAGATCTGTTGCTACTTTCAGTGATGCATACCTCTTACTTCAGCATTTGATGACGATACATGGTTACTGATAAGTCTCTCTTTCTCATATGCACACACTAATTATGCACTCTTTTCCTACCTTATGAATCATGATAGAAGTTTGTAATTAAAATTTTTACAGTTATTATTATTTGCAGGAGACTGATTATGAATTGAATGTTTATAAATCAACTGGTGAAAATTATTAATTAATTTGTTACAATAATAATTGGATGATGATAACCAAAATGTAAACAATTATTCACAAATTATGATGCACATAACTGACATAAAGTTAACTGTTTTAAGTGAAAATACTTAATTGTGTGTAACTTTCAAACAAAAATTTACATAGTAGTGTAAGACAAATCATGATCCAGCAATACTTTTAATTCACACTCAAGTTCCTTTGGTTTACAGATCCTTTTGGAAAAATAAAGGGTAGAAGCACACGTATCCACTTTGATGGCAGAAAGATTGTCTGAGAATTTCACATTTATGCTATTGCAATTAGTGAATCTCTTTCCAGTTATGAATATCAGAAAAGCTAGCAATTCTACAGAAAATACTGACGCTAATTCTAGTGAAGCTAACTTACGTTTTTCATCACACTTTCTCAAAAAACTATAAAGACTATCCAGTAGATCGTATTCCTTTCTGATGTACATTCAGGGGGTATAATGATGTTGATAATATCTCGACTTGTCAGAGTCCCAGAATACAAAAACAACGGTTCAAAAATTGTAGGAAAGTGAGACATGAGCCTTCTTAACCCATAATGCATGTCCAGGCCCTCTCCAATCATATCCAATAGCAGCTTTCTTTTTTGTAATGTATCAAAGAGTAAAATAGCTTGGGTAATCCGAGCCATATTGTATCTCTAAAAAGGACAAGGGTTAAAAGTTTTACCAATAGACAAGAAGCATAAATAACAATATTAGTTACTTTAATTGGAATATCAATGATGCCACATTCATCCATTAGTTCAACAAGTGACTCAAAGCATTCAAGTTCCTCATAAACATTTCCTTCATAAGATTCAATCTGTTGAGACAATACAATAAAACAATAAACACAGATTAAGTAAATGACTGACTTCATTTAAAACGTAGTTCACCTTTCCACTAGCTTCTTTCCTTAACACTTTAGTAGCAGCAATTTCATAGTGGCCAAGCATGAAGTAATAGCAAGATGGGGAGAAATAAGGAAATCCAACTCTTTGAACTATAATAGAATGAGCCACTATAATGCCAAAAACTTTTAATACTCCAACAAGACTCAAATTAAAAACAGGTCTAACAAAATCAAGTTCTCCTTCAAAAATTTTCTTTTTCCCTTCAGCAAGTCTCTTATATACTTCAGCAAAGAACTGGGCACTCACTCCCCCTGCATCAATAGCTGGCTCATCTGTCATTACTAGCCTCACAGGAGCATCCTTACAAAAACTTTGCCCTTTATAAAATGTAAAGGCTGCATCTACCCAGTCATCATCTCCCTCAATACGAATCTTGGGAGTTTCAGGAATAGAAACACTGATAAAACGTAAATTCAGCTGTTGAAGCAAACAATGCAGTTGCACACCTTCCACTAAACAATCAGATACTAATGCCCCATCTTCATTATAGATTTCATATAGAATTTTAATAGCATCTGGCTTGAAGTTAGGAAACATTTCACAGAGTCTTTCCAGTGAAGGAGATACATCTTTAACTGGTGAATATTGGAGAAACTCTAATTCTTGATCAAAGTTAAATGGAGACTCATTACTGCCACATGATATCTGAATAGAACGAGATGATGTGACAGGGAGAGAAGTAGGAGGGAGAGAGAGAGGGGAGGAAGGGGCATGGCTAGTAGAGAGTGGGGAGGGAGGGGCATGATTAGTACTAACAACAGATCTGGGTGAGTGTTCAACAAGTGATGGCAAATGTTGAGTTGATTCATTCGAATGACCGCCTGAAGTTGATGGAGTGTCAGTTGATACTGACATAGCTGACAATGTATTGCTTGCACTAGAAGTATACTGAAATGTATCAACTGGTTGCTGAGCAGATGTAGGACGACGAAGTGATAAAGATCGATACGTACGACGCCTTCCCAATGTTAATGGTGTATAAGTTGACACTGGTAATGTATTGCTAGCGCTAACACTAGAAGTAGATTGAGATATATCAACATGATGTTGATTTGATGTACATGTAGAATGACTACTAAGTGATAATGATCCATATGCATAAAGTCTAGCTCCTGAAGTTGATGAAGTGTCAGTTGATACTGGCATAGCTGATGACACATTGTCACTAGAAGTAGACAGAGATGTGGGTTGTGGAGTAGAAGTACAACAACGTCCTCCTAATGAGACACTTGACACTGGAATAGATGTATTTTTAACACTAGCACTAGAAGCAGATTGAGATGCATTAGCGGGTTCCTTTGTTGTTGAATGATGAAGTGCTGTACAGCGGTGTCCTTGTGAAGTTGATGATAGTAATGTAGATAAAGCAGGCATTGAAGTACCAGTAGTAGTAGACGGTAGCTCAAAATCTGAGTCTGCATCAGATACTTCTATTATCATTTTAGAAGATTTGGGCTTTTTATTATAAATTGAGCTAGCATCTGGTAATTCAAAATCAGAATCACTGCTTAAAGGACTCCATGTGACTCGAGGCTGCTTAGATAATGAAGCTGTTAGACGAATATAAACTGGTCCATTGCCTGCAGTTTGCTTCAGTATTCTACCGCTATACTCAAAATTACGAGGCAGACATGTCAAAATTGTCGCTTTCTTTCCCTTTACGGCAACAAATAGAAAGTCATAAGTTGTGACAGAAGTCAGGTCTTCTGCAGTATCATTATGAAGAACTTCAATAATTATCTGACGTACTTCTAGCTCTGTTGATTCATAGGAAATTTCAGGTAAAAAACCAGTGGTTAAAATTAATCCATCGTTTATATTAAATTGTAGTGGAGGCTTTGATCCCATATACTTCAATACCACAACTTTTTTTTGAAAAGTTTGAGATTGTGGCTGTGATGACTTTGGAACAAAAGATCCTTTTCTAGCTTTGCCTGATCTTCGATTTATCAACTTTGGCTGCTCACTTTCGCTTGGTTTAAGGACCCTTTGAACCTCTTTCATAATTCTGTCATCTAAACAAGACAAGCATTTATTATATGTCACATACACAAAAAATAATTCCATTCATTTATAAATTATACAACTTTTGTAGCTATAAGTCTGACACTAAGATATACATGCATATACACATAAAAATATTTAATAGAGATCATGTGCTACAGGCTTACTAGAAACTGATGTAGAGCATAATGTCTTAAGTTGAGTCCTCTCAGTCTCCAGTGGCGTATCTAGACTTTTGAAGATGGTGGGGCAAAAATGGCGCGCGAAGCGCGCCGAAAAAAAATTTGTGGTTAATTAATATTCATAATGGGCGTGTCTTTAATTAAAGTACGTCTGCGCCCACAATAATGATGATGAAGTCGACTATATCAGACTAGCTCGGCTTGCTCTTTTCTTCTCTAAAGTTCTCTTTTGAGTGTTTTCTTTATTTATTGTGTTCTCTGGCCTTAATCAAGATTGGAGATATCTTAAATTTATAACTACAGTAAGGCCACTCCAATAAGATTCATAGTTTCCCATTACAGAGGCGGGCCTGATGCGGGCGGGCGGGTTTGTTCATTTTCATTAAATTTATTCATTATCAGCTGTATAAATTGCTTGTATAATCAATGAAAAACCGCAATAATGAATAGCGATGCGGCCCCATGCGGGCGGGTAATGGGAAACAAGGAATCAAATTGGAGTGGCCTAAATTAGAAGGCAATATTAATTTTGATTCAGTAGCAGTTGGTAGGGCAAATGCCCTACCATGCCCTACCTTGGATACGCCACTGCCTCTCTCCAATTGTTTGAACGCCTAGCTGAGTCAGTTGTTCATCAGTCAAATACTTCACAGTTGAGTTAATGCCGGACCTATAAAGCACAAAATGAATTGCTTATTGTAAGCATTTTGAAACAAACGGCTTGCCATACATTGTGAGACTCCTCAGTTGCTGGGTCTTATTTTATTCAGGTAAATTTCCCCTCAAAGTTGCTATGTTTTTCAGAAATTGCCTAATCGGGGCGAGCATGAGCGAGACCCACACTAATCTGTCTAGGTCTATTTGCGTTACGTCTTGTTTGTGAACGGAAGAATACGAGAATTAAATTAGTATACTATTATTGATAAATTTGAACCACGTGGGCAAAATTAATCTAGAGGGTGTGGTCAAAAAGAGCAAGATAGAGGGGCTGTCTAAAGCATCTCTAAAGGCTGAAGAACTTAAAAGCAGTTTGATCTAAGACTCCTCTAGATTAGTCCTCTCATTGACAGAATTAAAATTGTGAGAGAAGCTTGATTAGAAGTTTAGCTTGTCACTTTTTCTCAAAGTATTAGGACAGTTTATCCTTGTCACTTTTATTAGGTCATTTTGGTCAGTGGTGTTAAATAGTGGGTTTGCTCTGTTCAGACCCTGCCGGACTATGAGGATGGGGTCTGAATATGCATGCACGTTAAGAGCTGGATTAATTTTATTTCAGTAGTTTTATTTCAAAAAGATGTTAATTGATGGAAGCTTGATTAAAAGTTTAGCTTGGCACATTTTTTTCAAAGTGACAGGATAGTTCATCCTTGTCTCTTTTACTGGGTTATTTTGGTTGTGTTAACTGGTGTGTTTGCTCTGTTCAGACCCCAGCCATGAGGCTGGGGTCTGAATATGCATGCAGGCTAAGAGCTGGATTTATTATAATTTTAATCTTCTTATCAAACAATGTGAATTGATGGCTCGCCCCCTCAATGTTTACATTCACATCGTAGGTCGGGATATATTCGCGGCTGCAATTATTCGCGGTCATAAAAATTTTTTCAATTAAAAACCATGGAAACCGAGGTGTTATTTTAATTGAAAACGGCGCGATAGTGAAGAAAAGCACCTTGCTGCAGTGTTCTTGAGCTGTTGTTCTTCTTGTGTCACTAAGCCTTGGGCTCTTTGGAGCTGCTTTACCGGTTCTTTTCAGAACTAGTGCCTCGCCGTATTTTGGGACTCTCCACCCATTCCAGTTAGTGTTTATTGACTTGGGCGTGGTTTATTATCACCACCACGCGGACCAGCAACAATTTGCAGCAAAGAGGCTGAAAGAGCTCTGAGGTAGCGGTCCATACAAGAAGTTAACAGATAGAGAAGGACTCGCTATTGGTGAATGGCTCCACTGTAGCTG